AGGGGTATTGCTCTGCTTAGCCAGGATTGTTTTTTATAATCTCCTTGAGTTTGGATGGACTGCCTAGTGAGAAAAAACAAGGTGCTGAATAACAAGTTCTGTACAGAAAGGCAATTTACTTCCCATAACGTTAAGTGCAGTGGGGAATAGCTTTGGCTCCACATCCTGCCTTTGAGCACACGCTATAAACTTCCTAAATTACGATGTATCAAGTTACACTTTCATTTTCTGTTTGAAACACCTTGAAATTTCTAGGGCAGCAGTTGTTTTACATCCCAGAAGCAAAACAGATATATCCTGCTTTGAAGGGATAAGTATCATGCTCCTTTTCATTCAGATTTTGCATTTACACTTTTTACCTTTACCTTTTTCACAGAAAAGATGCTCAGCCTGGGATGTGTGCTTAGAAAGCAATCTGAGGGGAACACTCCAAAATACACAGTACTTAAGCAAAACTGCTGTGTCAGAAACAGTACGTCAACACATACTTTTATGAGCACACATCCCTGTGCAATTGGGATGCAGTTGGGCAATTTTTCTGAGGTCAATGAGTCTTCTTACTGTTAAAGTTACCTTTACATACCTAGCTGGCTTGGTCTGTGTTTCTAATACCTTAAGGCTTCTCTGGGCTTATCTTTGCTGAAGTATATTGTTGCTTCAGAGCTACTCTTCTGTCAGATCTGCTTTCACACTGCACACCTTCTCTGCTGTGTTACTTCTTCTATCTCTATTATAACCTGGCCAAACCTTAGCCTATAGCTCAGGTAGAGCAACAGATCTGTTGCAAAAGCAAATCTTGTGTTCTGTGCATTTTCAGGGCTATTTCACAGCCTGGTTATTCAAACTCAAGAGAGGTTATTCTGAGTGTGGATAAATTCAAACCAAGTGAAAAACATTTCTTCCAAGACATTTAGGAAATGGCATGTTGCTTTACATGCTGTATGGTCATAAATGGAAGTGTCATTATTCTGTCCTGGGTTGAGCTTAAAGGATTTCTTTCAGATCGATTTTTGGTAGGTATACATTTTTTTTTTTTAGTGGAGGAATGAATCTCATCTGTGTGGTGGGAGGGTCAGCTGGTTTTGCCAGGGTGCTGGGCAGAGAGTACGCTTCCCCAGTCCCAGTCAGTGGGGCAGAGACAGGAAGGGACCTCCTGAGAGCTGCTCCTGCTGAGCTCCCGGCTGCCCACTGTCTTCATAAGACATGTTGGGAAGTAGGAGTGGTGTGCTGTGATTCCTACAAAGCATTTTATTTATTATACAGTCAAAGTTTATGAGATCCTAACCCCATCGAGTGCTCTAAATAAATTCGGGACTTCAAATGGGTATTTTCTATGTAAATGAGAAACTGTATTAATTTTAACAGTTTAATTATTGTGTCTGTGTGTTGATATGGATGAGTAAGCTGTCAGCTGCTTTCTGACACTCACCCTGAAGCTCTGCTTTGGCTAGATCTCCTTACTGATCCCAATAAAGGTGAAATCAGAAAAAAGCAGAGGCTAAAAAGGAGAGGCCAGTGGCAGGAGTTTCCTGTCAAAAGACACCATTATTTTCTGTACCTAGGCTAATAAACACCCTATTAATTAGTGCATGTTTAGCATAAACTAGATCCGATTTTGCCTCACTGCAAAGGTGCAGGAGATCTTTTGTTTCGTTTCTCCCCATAGCACTCTAAACCTCAGGTAAATCATCCTGAGACAGCATTTAAGGCTCAGATAAAAAGATGTTCCTCTTTCTTCTCTGCCTTGCACACAAACGTACCCGCTGAGAGACGTGCATGGGTGTCCCCTTGTGTCCTGAAGGGGCAGACGCCATGACTCGGCCGCCTCCGGCTGCTCTGCCCTGCCACGTTGCTTTGGCTTTGCTTTGTTGTGATAACCCACGGGCTGCCCAGGCGTGAGCTCTGGTTAGAAAAACATAATGAGCTCATGTTAGCATGTCTCCTGCTGCTACTGTAGTCTCTGCTGCCTCTCCACCAAGAGGTAAGCACTATTAGCTGGAGCCTCAGGCTGGACCCCTCTTTACAGACCACAGGCTTCTGTTTCTCGTTAAGCCAAATGGGTATGAATGGGAACTAAATGAAAAAAACATTTACCACTACATTCCTGTACATCGTACCATGGTGACATCTGTTTTGCTTTGCTCCAGGTAAAAGCCTGACATTGTTCTCATGGTGAAGTGAATTTGAGCCATCCACCTGTATTCCCAGAGTGCCTCAGGCCTGTGCTTGGCGCTGGTTGGTGATGCATTTTTTCCAGTGGGGGTGGTTTGAAAGTGCCCCGTTACACAAGAAGGCAGTGCTGACGGCCAGAGTGGGGAAAAAAGAAAGAGGGAAGAAAATCAGGCATCACAGAGAAAAGGACTACTTTAGTCATAGTTCAGCCATGCATGGGAGAGCTGGACAGAAGGAATTTCCAGTCTGCTCAGTTGCTTCCTTAAAATGCTAGAGCTAGTCCGCAGGCATGGCATGAAAGGAGATGTGACCATCAGTGCAGGGTACAAAGTAAAAAGTATTAGGGGCATTTGGCTACATTACATAAGAGGTCAGATCTGCTGCTTGTGTTGCTAGCTCTGAAAGTTGATGAGCACCAAAGATAGGAAAGAGATTGCTTTTACACTCAGACAAAATTTGAAAGACTGCTGCTGTGAGACACCATGGCCAAGAGCCTAAGAAGTATTCTTAAAAGTATTTAATGCCTAAATCCTTTTGAGTGACATTAGGGATGTACTCAGTGCCTTTCACATCCAAGCAAGTGGAGGGCTTGTTTCCCAGGAGGGGCTGAGCCTATTGCAGGATCTCTTCCTACAAGTAACATTTAATAGCCTACCACCCTGTCTCACCTCCTTTCAAGTATGCAGCTGCTCTCACCATTTAGTTCCCTTTCTTTAGAATTGCTGACAAGTCACCCTGAGCGTTGCAGTTTGTTGGGATCTTCCCAAACTTGTCTCTCTTGTTGTTATCGCTTTTTAGCTATGGTATTGGATCAGATCTTGCTTTTCTTTTTATCAAGATCTGATTCTTGTCTTGATCAGGCAGTTTAATCTAGAGATCAACTAAAATGCATTCAAGGTAAGCAAATGCTGACACTGACTTCCAGTGACTGGTACGACAGGTCTAAAATAACTCCTACTTGCTCGTATTTGTAAGTCTGCATTTGTTCTGGCATGGACTTCTTTTCTGGGCTGCAGTTTGAGCAGTAAATACAACTATGATAGGTATCACAGGATGAGCAGTCTGGATCTCAAGCCTTTTGGTAGAAAAGCCTTGTCTATCCATCTTCGCTGTGCTTTCTTTTTCCTGTATAGAGTTATCTCAGGTGCATTCAAATAAAAGCTCTGTAGACTAGGTTTCCAGACAGTCAGCAAGAGACCATTCTCATCCATTTTAGAGCTAGCATTTACAAGTTAATTGCTGGTTACTAACTACTGGTTTCTAGCACAGGTTTCTGCACTCAGAATTCAATGGGATAAGATACAATAGTTCACGAAGTCAGTAGAGAAACAGACTCCCATGAATGAAACTAGATAATGCTTTGTTACTTGCAAATCAGAAAACTAGGCAGTCAATAGAAATTTTTTGTTTGGGTTTTTTGTTTTTAGCTTTTATTGAAGCACCAAGTTGTCAGACATGTTGAAGCTATTTACATTCAAGTTTCAATAAATGTAGTGCTAGAGAGTCCTCTAAATGATTTCATCTTTATTTTTATCTTTTATTTTTAAAATAAAATTTACATCCCTTCCCTGCTGACATCAGTTTTGTTCTTGCAAGAGAGTCATTTAGTAGTTTCATTCAAACTTAGTGGCTTAGGCCTTTTTTGGGGGGTGTGGTGGTGGTTCTCCCATCCCTTCTATTCCTGCTGTCTCCTAGGGGAGACCCTGCAGGATTTGTCAGCTACACAGTTGGTTTTGGTTTGGTTTTTTTTTTTTTTTCAAAAGCAACAACAACCAGCCATTGCTCTGGGTGTACTAAACCAAGCAAGGGCATGGAAACTGTTGGTTTTCTTTCTTGTGTCTGCTCTTTCTCCCAGCAACCTGTATGCACAACTTCCTTACTGCTGCCATCAGGCCACTGACATACTTTTTCTCCCTTACTTTATCTTTAGGCCTTGATTTGGGAGCTCACATGACAAATCTTTCAATATAGTGTAGGCTTTATCAACCATGATACATTTTCAGCTATTGCAGTGCTCTCATTTACTGGTGTTATAAAGCAGGGTAGGTGTGCATGAGCACTGGTATTGAAGCGGACACAGTGACTAACCTTTCTGCCAGCCAATCATTCTTGCTTCTGTTTTGCCCATCACCAGTGCTGCAGTAAGTGCACAAGTGGGAATCGTTTCAGAAGAATATTCTACTGAACAGAGGCAAGGCTAATGCATCTCTGGTGGCAACCACCAAGCTTTACTTACTGCAGGCATTTTGTCCTCTAGCATTTTCACTGCCCTAGCCAGCCTACAGTCATGTTATACAAAGAACTAAGTGGTGGTATATTGACACTCTGCTCCAGCATAGTAAAAGAACTTTTGGGTGTCAAAGTGCTTTTTGTGCTGTGATTGAAAAAATCCCAAAATGATACCTCCCCTGTAGATGGTCCATGCAGAGGCTGGCTAATGCTTGTCCTTAGACTGTAAGAGCCAGTACCAGGAAAGCATAGGAAGACCAGTTCCCACGCGCTGCTCTGGTCCTTCACTGGCACACCTCTACGCACTGAGACCTGAGCAAAGGTAAGTAGGCACAAGCTCTGGAAACTTTAAGGTACATATGCCCTCTGAGGGTCAAATCCTGGAGTCAGACACCAAAGAACGTGTGAGGATCTGACTCACAGTGAGTGGGTACAGCACATGGCAGGTACAGCTCCCATGGACTACCAGGGTTTTTGCTACATTTTCTTCTGTGTGTAAGAAGGGCGAGTGCATATTGTTTCTAGACATTGCTGCAGATGGAGCAAAAAGGAGAGGCAATAACTCTTCTGGTATGAAATAGCACTTTCTGCATTTACAGGTTCACAGAGACGGAGGCTTATTCCAGCTTTATCACTTGATACCACTTCCCCAGCAAGGAAGCCTGCCAACAGCCCTGGAGTCCGCTGGGTTGATGGGCCTCTGCGAAGTGGGCAGAGGGGGCTGGGGGAGCCCTTTGAGATCAAAGTCTATGAGATAGATGATGTGGAGAGACTGCAGCGACGACGAGGTGCAAACAGCAAGGTGAGTGCAATCCACGTAACTTGTCTCCCTCCTCCTGGAGGGTGTAAGAGGTGGAATTGAGATTATGCAGTCAGAAATGTGTAGTATCATATATGGTTAATTCAAGAGGCAGCAAAACCTATTATCTCATTTAAAGCAGTTATGACTCAAGTTATGCCTTCTTCCGTAGCTGCTAATGGACGTTGGTACCTCGCATTTTTGCCCCTTGCTTATAGTCTTGGTGGTTTCTGTGCTCTAGCATCTTGTCACAACTGTCCTTTAAGGCTGCAATGGTGCCTCAAGTGCTGTGATGGTATTTTTTTCAGGATATCTAATGTCTTCCTTCTAATTTGTTCCTGCCAGCCTAGGGCCTCCAAATTTACAAAAAGATGAGGGAATTGTAAAGGTCTGCTCTTGAGAAGTATGATTGGGAAGAGTATCTGAAGTTGGTGGAATAGCACCAGTTTTAGACTACTGTGGATATAGACTTTATTATTATTTTAAGGCGCTTTTTCTTCCTAGCCCCTGTTGCTTCCTAGCCCCTAACCTGTAGGTTAGGCTGTTTGTGATGTTGTTCTCTGATGCGATTTTGTATGGAGAAAAACATTACTTGTTTGGGTGGGATTTCTATTGCACTTCACCCACACAGCAGATTTGTCTACAGAGCAGAAGGCAGAATAGTGTTGAGATCTTCACACAGGCTTGGAGGAGGATAGTTCTGGTATTGGGAATGCTGCCAGAGTAGTGAAGGTAGCACAGCCCTTACTGTGGGCTCACTTACTATACATCTTGATGGCTGCCACCCCTCAGAAGTCATGTGAGGCCAGGCTGGATATCGCCAGACAGCACTGCACCCTGTGCTGTTACTGTGCCTCATATCTTTACAGGAAATCATATCTTTACAGAATATCTTCTTTATTAATAATTGTAAGTTTCTAGATCTTTTCATAGCCCATTCCCTTTGTTTAAAGATGCTTTAAATTTGATATTGCTACCAGTTCTCTTATTTTATATGACTACTGCATTTTTTATGCTCCAAACAGAGAGATGTATTCAGGATTATAATACACCAAGCAATGGATTTCCTTCTCCCAGCGCTTAGATCTTCTTAGCCAAACTTCTGGTGTGAAAACCAGAAATGTTTTGCTACAGTTAATCTGTTTTCAAGATGCTGCCTGTTATTAATTATTATGGTTTATTATTAACTATCATTGCGAAGTCTCCAAAGCTCACTGAAGGAAAACATCAAAACCAAACAAAAGCAATAAAAATAAACCAGATGATTAATGATTTCATGTGGTGATTCATACACTCCAGAGTAAATGGCTTATTGTCAGTATTATTGATAGGAGGATGATTTAACTGAATGGATCTGGGTATTTCTTTTCCTCTTCACTTATTCCTTCCCTGCTCCTTTTTCCCCATTGGCAGGAGCTGATATGTTTCAATGCCAAGCTGAAAATCCTGGAGCATCGCCAGCAGAGAATTGCTGAGATCAAGGCCAAGTATGAGTGGTTAATGAGAGAACTGGAGGTGACCAAACAGTACCTGATGCTGGATCCTAATAAATGGCTCAGTGAATGTAAGGACGTTGTTTTATTGCCTGGAGTCATACATGTCCTTTGGCTTATTTGAGGGATGGGGCAGGAGGGGAAGACAGAAGGGAGCAGAGATGTTTGCTAAGCATGAGGTGTGAGCAATGTGTTTAATGTTTGTAAACTAAAATGGACCAACATGTGACCTAAGGGCAAGGTTTAAATTGACTGTACTTCTAGAACTAGTCCCTGTAATTCTCACTAAATGTTGACAGTAGAACTGAACAATTCTTTTTGCCTGAGAGCTGAATGTTGAAATGGTACAGCATTGAGGTGGTGAATATTGCCACTAGTAGGTTAACGTTTACGCATTTCAGTCCACGGCTCCTGAAAATAGGATTTTATTTTTTTTCCCCCTCAGATCACTCAGACATGTAAGCAGTATTATAAATCTGCTGTTCTACCACAAAATAACACTGTGGAGCAAACTTGTCTCTCTGCACCAGTGGGCTTACATGAAAAATGAATTTAGCCCATTTTTTGTAACTATAGATGTGTAAAGTTCAGAGAGCTTAAAGGGTATTCACATTCAAATGAAGAAAGGCCTCATCAGCTCAAAGGGAAAAAGATGAGGAGTACTGCAGTAATTGTACAATAGTTTTTAGTATTAGCAGGCAGATGAGTTCATATCAAAGAGTTACAGGAAAAACAATGATGTAAAATTTATTTAGCATAATTGCAGGTGGCAGAAGGAGGTTGGCTGGTGTGTTCTCTTTAAAGCATACTAACTCTTCCTTTGACAGCTGCCCTAAGTTAACACTAGACTGGTACATCCTGCAAAACAACTACATTATATGTTTCAGGATGCTACTAAGGAAGAGAGCTAAAACAACAGATTAAAAAAGAACAGAGAATTTGCCGTACATTTCTATCTACTTTCTGTGTAATGCCTTTGCTTCTGATTCCAGTGTGGTAAGTGCAGAAAGCCTTATGGATGTCATGAACCTCAGGGACCAGATAAGATGGGAAGTGCTGGTTTAGACAATGCATCTTGCACTTGGCTTCCGTGGAAGCCACGGTCAGCTGCCATCTGGCAGCATACGGGCACCGATGTTGGAGTGACTGATACTTATGCCTTTCCTTGCTACTTTAGTGGTCTAATGAGAATCACAGGGAATAGGGAGAGGTGTGAGGAGCAAGTAGGTGTGAGGTTCGTTTCTAACTCTGAGTTCTGAATTCAGCAAAAGACCCGTCCTCCCATGGCAGAGCACCTACTTAAATCTCTTTCTGGTCAGCAGAATATGAGAGTCTGTACATCCTCAGCAATCAACATTTGCTTAAGGGTGAAGGAGTG